CGTTCGCCATTTTTTAATTCCATTATGAAACTTTTTTTCCCTCTCTCCTCACACACACACACACACACACACACACACGTCTCTTCGCTACTTTTGTACGGCGAAAAAGAGACGTTCCGGCAATTTGTTCGCAAATTGATGAGAGAAAAAAGAAAAGAAATTTGAAGAGATAACAGATAAACAAAGTGTTTATGAAACAAGTACAATTACTTGAAGAAAGTAGAGAAACAATAGCTTCCATTGCGAGTTTTTCAATCGAAGTGAAGACGAAAAAATTGGAATTTTCCGGCGAGTAGAGAGGAAAGTGGAAGTAGACTCGGCGAGATTAGAAATTAGAAGCTAAACGGAGCAATTCAGAAATCCCCGGTATGTATTTCAACGCCGTGAGAAGCGTTGTTAGCGGCACGTGAGCACGGTTATAACTTGCCACGACAAATTCAAATGACAAAAACAAGCCAACGAAACGGAAGATCACTTCGTTTTCAGTTAGCCGCGTTGAACTTAATAACACGAGTTAATTTTAAGCCATGTAAATAGAGCGGGAGAGAAAAAGAGAGAAAGAGAGAGAGAGAGAGAGAGAGAGATTCTTCGCCGTGATACGAAACACGAAACAAGCGGAATAATACGAGAGGTTTTCGTGCCGCAACGCACGTCGCAACGCTGCGATTAAATATGCTTCAGTCAAGAACTTCTCTCCGTTAAACATCATCTTGACACGTAAGACCAAGAAGGAAAATGTTGAAAAAAAATATCAAAGACGCGTTTGTATCGGCGAAAAGTTGCACCACACTTTACAATTATACGAACGTCGTGATGAAGTAATTCCAAAAGATACTCCCTCGAAAGAGAACGCAACAATCCTAAAAGAAAATCCATCTGTTCTACGAATGCTGCACACTTTTTTATCTATTTTATAATTCTCGCCCACGAATCGGCCCCAAAATTTCACAAGGAAACTCGCGCACAATCGGATTCGCCCCTCGTGGCGAGAAGGGCTCGCGAATCGCGGATAGAACGGGAAACGCGAGAACGATATCGAAAATCCAGGAGGCCTGGCGGGTCCGCGGGATCAGACAAAGAGGAGGACTAGCCGCTCCGGTAACCAACTTAACCGGAAACTTCGGAATCAAAGCAAACACAGCGAAAGTGCCCGCGGGGGTCAGCTCGTCGGTTCATCGTGAAACTCGATTTACTACCACGGCACACCACCGCCAGGCGTTCATCTGCCCCTCTCGTCGAGACGCATCAGATCCGTAGAGGGGTGCGCTTTGATGCAACGTTAGCCGTAGAAGCATCATCCCTCCCTCCCATTGTCGTGTGTTGCAACAATACCAGAGCCAGCAGTCTGTTTGCGTGTAATTGGCAAGCTTGCTAGATCCACGGAGTCAGCGAGACTCTACGATAATAACCAAGAGAGAGAGAGAGAGAGAGAGAGTTCGCTAGCTGTGATCGAGTTACTTGGATTGTCTTAGGCGAGGCACTGCTTTGGGGTACCAGCTTGGTACCTGGCGGGGGTGATTCGAACTCGGATGATTCGTTTTCTGGGGTTTGGCGAACGGGGTTGATTCGATCGATCTGGCGAAATTCTGAGGAAAACTGGTCTCGCAGCATAACCCTCTAAATCTAAATCTCAATGGAATACCCAAGGGGACGAATCCTCGGCACGTCGATAAAATTTTGAAAAAAAAAAATCTTCCGAATCTCTCTGTACCAACCTCGGCACAACGGAAACTGATATAAATTAATGCCGAAAATGGAAATTTTAAACGCTCTCGAAATCTCGTAAACGCCACGATACGAGTTATTATATATTATTATCGTAGGAATAATTCGAAAACGCGGCGAAAGAAGAGAGAGGGAGGTGGAGATTGCCGAGCCATCGAAGCTTGCTAGAATCCTGATTGCGGATATTTAATGCATGCCAACGGAAACGTGAACGTTATACGCGAATGGAACGCGTGTAGAGCGGTCGGGTACAACAGGTACGATAATGCGTGCTCTCGGTTTGTTTATACCGGGGGGGATTAAAATAATGCATCGATGCACCGGTTCGCCGCATTGAGCTAGATGAAGAGATTTAGCCGGCGCGCAAATTACATACGCATTAACGTCGGAAATACACCGTGGCCGAGGATGTGCGTAAGCAACGATGAACGCGTGTGCGTTTATGCAAAGGAGCGAGTAACGAGATTCATCGATTCCATGTGTTCGAGTGTGCCCGCTGGCACACATCGATACGCGTCGATTGTCCCCTCTTCGCCAGCAACGGGGTAAACGTGAATTTGAAAAGAAATGAAAGAGTTCCAGGAAAGAAAATCGAGAGCCCGAGGAACGACAACTCCTGCTTGACTGTTGCAAAGTTACGAGATACCGCCGTTAAACTGGAATTCGAAGAAAAAAAATCTCTCTGCAGAATATTGGAAAAGAATAATTCTGAAATATACGTCAGTTTCATTCAACAGAGTATCTCTCGAAAGAAGATTTGACAACGCAACAAACCAAAGCCGAGAACACTGCGTCGCTAATTAATCCACGCCGGGCTGATAACCAGAAGTAATTATTACAAAATACCATCTCTACGCAGTAAAATCGGGCACGTTCGCCATCTTTCCGGCAGCGTTACATCGTGAAATTGAAATTCGTTGATTTAGCGATGCGTTTTCATTTAGGCGAGCCCCTCCGCCGGAAAATTACGCGTGTCCAGGATGAATGCAATCCTCTGTAGCCAGGCTGAAATATTTCGGCGCGTTCGCAACGATACGTTCGCGCGGGATAATTTTCGTCGCATCCTGAGCGCGATTCGGGATAAATTAATATTAATCGTCGTTAAACGCGCCGTTTATCGCTCGCCGCGATTATTCGCTCGTCGAATAAATATATTTCATTTTCGCCTGTTCCGTTCAATATGGCCGATTGTCACTTGGACTTTTCGAACGATAAAAAGACACGAAAGACTTCCTACCGCGAGTCGACTTGAACTCGAAATCAATACTTATCAAATAGCAGGCCTGATTGAATTTATGTGAAGTATACAATTTTCATAATTTCTTTTTTCTTTTTTCTTTTTATATTTCAAGCTGATTCATTCGTATTTATTAATTATCGTGGAAATTTGGCGAACTTGTCGAAAGACTAATAATAAAGTTAAGTTAAATAAATAAAACAGGCTACTGCGCAATATAACAGAATGGAGAGTAGTTTAAAAGACGCGCCGTTTGACCTAGTTGTGTCTAAAACACCCCTGTGCATTTTCTTTCTAATTTACCCTACCATCTCTTTTATTTATTAAAATTCTCTCCGCAACTACAATGCCGCATTCGCGGAAACGAAATTACTTTGGCTATTATTAATATTAATTATCTGGCATGAAAAAGGAGACGGAGACTCGTTACACCTTCCAAATTTTTCTCCCTCCCTTCCTCCCTCCTTCCCACGGGTGGGTAAATTAGGATAATTAAAATTAATGTAAACCCACTTCAAAATTTCATATTTCATCTCCATACGCATACACTTCTTTTCACGGGAATACTAACTTCGCAACCTAGTTTGTTAGACAGACAGAGAGAGAGAGAAAGAAAGAAAGAAAAAAAAAGAGATTTTGCACAAGCCGCGCCTTTCAGAAAAATTTTCCCGCCACTTTAAAAAAAAAAAACGCTCCTCTACAACTGCGGATTTAACAAAAAAAAAAAAAAAAAAAAAATCCTGACCAAGAAACCAGCGTGGATAAAAACAGCCGTTCCTCCGACTGGATGATTATCTACACGCGTGTAGAAATAAAATCTGATTCTTAAATACTTTCGAAAATCTACATTGAGTATCTGAAGTCTCAGTACGTTTCGCATCTTTCAATTACATTCTCGTGGCGATCGAAATTTCGCCGTGGATTCGGCTGATCAATGGAAAAACACGATTGTTTGAGCACGGAGAATGGCTTTGTGAAGTACAACGGGCAAACGGACAGCAAGCAATGGATAATGACGGTCAAACGGAAGATCATCGAGCCGAATCGATGATTCGATTGTTTCTGTTATTGCCTCGCTCGGTCATCCGCGTCCTGTTCACCAAGTGACTCGCTGGTGCGGCACAAACTGCGCTTCCTCGACGCGGATCAAACGCGTTTTTGGCCAAGGCCGTGACTGGATCGACACAAGCCGGCTCCGTTTGTTCCGCGAGCATTTCTAGCACGATGATTTCGATTTCAGGGATAACTCGACTACCGCGTGAAGTTTGAAGCGAAGTGAACGGGAACGATCGCAAAAGATACAAAGTGAAGTTTAATGACGGAAATTTTTCGCGATTTCAACGTAACTGAAATGCGAAGAGTCTGTAAAAATAGATAAATTTGAAAAAAAAAAGAGAAACGTCTACCGAGCTTGCAAAATTAAAGTGCCTCCAAAGTGCTTTTAAATATTTTCCACTGAAAAATTGACGAAACGTTTCAAACGTTTCAGCTTTAATTCGAGCAATTTCAACGTGTAATTTGCCGGAAATATTGACAATTTCGCCGAAACATTGGCCAACTTTTGAATTTCAACCGAACTTAATTGAATAATAGCCGTCCATTTGATAATAAGTTTGTGAATTTCATTAATTTCTTGCCTCATTACCATTCTAACAAGCCCTACTTAATTCATAATTACCATTAAATAGTTAATTCACCGGATATTCTGTGCGTTCGCCCGACATTTCAAATCTATTCTATGTGCAAGCGGTTTTCGCTGAGAAATGAATAATTAAATTCGAAATAATTGCCTGTCTTCCCTATTTCGCGCTCACGATTATTATCATCGATCGATGATTTTTGCAAAATTTTGCTGAATCAGTGTTTCAGCGTGACTTATTATTTCCGAAATTTCGCGAATTTCAGAAATAGAAAAACTTCTGTACGAGAGTGGCCAATTGGAGATTCCTCCTACTCTTGTCAAATTCTTAAAATTGACTCGAGTAACGGTCACGTGGAAATAACGAGATAAATATAAATTCGATTGGTTGTCACTCACCTGATTTTTGCCTTTGAGAACGAGAACATTTGTGACACGGCCGAAGGGGACGCCAAGATGGATGATTTCACTCTCCGATACTTCGTTGGGGATGTTCCTGATGTGGATAACCCTCGAAAGTTTGCCATTGTGGCTCTTGTCGAGTTTAACCTGCGCATACACAAAATTCTCCTGGTTAGTTATAAGTTTCACACGGCGCGCATGTGTGCACGATAATAAACTGCACAACTCGATTCGTCGAGCTCGCGCTTACACGGTGCCATCCGAAACATTGACACGATTGGAACATTAAAAAAACCGGTTGTAAAAAACGTAAAGATACAACAGTCTGTAGGATACGATCAACGTTACGAAAACATTCGTCGTTTCTTCGATTACATTCGCGAAAGTATGAATACAAGCCCACGATACAACAAGAAATTCGCGCCAACAACATTCGCAAACACCGAGTGAAATTACGCTCGTTCCTCAAGGGAGGTACACGGGGGCGGCTTTTAAAATTCCATCAGCCCTCGTTAAAAAAAAAAAAAAAAAAAGAAAAGAAAAGAAGCATGGTGCGAGGCAGAGCGCGTGCAGACCACACTTCCGGCCGAGGAACGAGGCCCCGTTGGTGTGTACAAGCAACGAAACTTTTGCGCCCGCTTTCGTATAAATTTAAATCGAAACCCCGCCGCCGGCGGAATTTTCAATCACTGCTCAATCTAGTCGAGACTCTATCCCCGCCAGTGACTGCCGCGAGACGCCTCTCGATCAACCCTCTTCTTCGCGCTGTCTCCTCTTCCTGTTCCCTTCGCCTTTCTCCCCTTTTATTCCACCTGCCCCGCAGCAGGTTCCCACCCGGGTTTAACCGATCGGAAAATGCGCTTCTTACCGAGTTACGGGGAGGACAGATACTTCTACAGCCTCTGTAAACCCCTTTCCAGATATTTTTCTTCCCAGTTCCAGCGGAGGGTTACCCGGCACCGACGTGTTTCTTTTTTTTTTTTTTTCGTATCGAAAGTAGTTACTTCGTTCGTGAAACGAATATCGAAATCCAAGACGGGAAGAATAACGTCTGTTCTGTAAACGTCGCGGATAACGAAGTATCTCGCGCGCGGGGTTTATGCGATTTCCGAGTTCCGTTTGGTCGACAGGTTTCGGTGAAATTCGCGACTTTCAACTATCCACAGAGTATTATTTTTTAAATTAAACGAAATATAATTCTATCCTTATACACGTATGGAATATATTGTGACAAAACACGTATGACAAAATTCCACAATTTACTAAATCGGATGCGCGATTCGTCGTGGGTGAACTTTACTTCCGTCAGGCTGATTGGCTGTTTTGCTAGATTATTAACGAAATTAAAACGATTCTCAAAATGAACTAAAATTGAAGCAACAATGTTCCTTAATTACGCTACTCGATGGTGGAACGCAATTAAACAAGGATAATCCTAACAACGATATAAATAGGGGGAAGAAGTATGGGGGGAGGAGCGCATTATGCGGTAATTGAAGAGTAACGATTCCGAATCTTGTGTATATCTAGTGGAACGGAATTATGCGAAACGATGCCTTCACTACGCATTGTACACGCGCGCTCGATTATCGAATAATACACGAATATAATACGCCATTATAGGAGCGCCGAGGGGACCGATTACTTCGCATTCAAATCGTACAACCTCGTCGCGAGATCTCCCTCTCCGAGGTAAGGGAAAATTTCATCCGTTCCGCCATTATTCCTTGGAACCACGATAATTCGTCCATCACTACCCGGATATCGACGTATTTACATTCGATACTTGTCTCTCAAACCGCCACGAATATTAATGCCCATGAGAGACTGGTACTTTTTCTGTTTTCATGAATTTCTTTAGCCCTTGGTTCGACGATTTGTGCAGATTCGAAAGACACGAGAAATTCAGGAAAAATGATTTCTCGTTAATATTGAGAAAATTAAAAGTTCCAATTCGACTAGAATTACTGTTTCGAAAGTAAGCTAACTGTTTCGCGAAAGTAAAAGAATTATCGACTGCGAATTGTAAGTAAAGTGAATGAGAAAGTAAAGTAAAGTAAATGTACAGTGAATGAGAAAGAGAGTGAAAAATATTTTTCGTTTGATAAATCGTTATTTCCGGGAAAGGAAGTCAGATGGGTTGGGAGATATTTATTAAAAAATTGGTCTTCCCCGGAGTGACAGTTAATAAATCACGGGGAATATATTTCTAAACGATACACGATCGAAAATTTGTAGGTGTAACCGGTATTGTGGATGTCGATTTGCCTGTCATCCCCGTGCTACGCGGAAAAATGCACCTGGCAGATTGAATATCGTTTCGCTATCATTTATCTTCTCTCTAACGTAATGACGATTTTATGTAAAATTTGTTGACCAAAAGTTCCATTCTAACTTCTTTGCGCTCTACTCACTTTAATACTTGCTAATATTTTCTAATCATATAAAAACAAACTGCAACAGATGAAACAGAATAAGTGCAATTATTATCAAAAATTTCTACTTTCATTTTAAGAATTTTCATAGAATTTCAGAGATTTGAGATTCCTTGAAATCTCCTTCAACAATATCATTCCGAAATTCCATCCATTCCAGTTTCATTCCATCGCCAAAAAAAAAAAAAAACACTCGATAATACGTAAGAAAGAATCCAAGCAACCAGGAAGAAAGGAAGGAGAGGAATGAAAAAGAAAAGGCTTGGTTCTCTACGTGTAACCGCTGAATATTCTTTCCGGTCCCGTACGTCGGAGCTTAAGGGATGGTAGAATCGCCGCCAGGATCAAAAGAAGTCGAGGGTTTAATTTCAAAGGTTAACCGAATCCGCCAGAGGCCACTCGAGAGGACTCAAAACTCGGAAAGAAGCATGGAAAATTCGTCGAGTGGATACTTGCACGCACTCGAAAGAGTTTCTTCGAATGACAAGCAGACAATAAATGGGAGTGGATTATACAAATCGTATTGAAACAACGAGGACAGAGTGAAAAGTGACAATAACGATCTTTACCGCCAAAGTAAAGAGTGAATTATTTTATTTTCTCTTTTTTCTTTTTTTTCTTGACTAACATGCAATCAGAAATAAAGGAAAAATAAAATGAAGAAGCGGAATCGAGTAAATCCGAAATAAATATAGGAAACCGTAGAATAGTAAGAAGAACGATGAACGGTCAAAAAAAAAAAAAAAAGGAAAACAGAAGAAGAATGGAAGGAAGGAAGGAAGAACGGTGAGCTTGGAAAGTTAAGCGCGAGCAATTCCGAAGAAGAGGCTATCAAATGAGACACTCGAGATGTCGAGGGCGAAACGACGCGGCACGCGAGTGCCTGTCGATCGCAGGGAAGAAGAGGCTTAATTGGCCGGCGTTTCCCTCGCTCTTGTAAAGGCAGCTTAGGCCACCGAGGAATGCTGCAAACAAGGTTCGCTTCGAGGATCGTTCAACCATTCTCCACGACGACCTCGAGGATCTCCTCGTGTGCCTGGACAACGTGTTCCCTCCACCCCTATGTCTTTCGTTCCACTTATCAGTCCCAAACTTTGACTTGACCACTGACCCCTCCCGACCTCTATTCTTTTTCTACTTCTTCCATTCGATTCGAAATGTATCACACAGATCTGCTATCGTGGATTGAAAAAGTCTGTTTATCTCGATATTAAGATCATTTTTACTAGATGAAACTAATAAAATTCACTCGTACATACGATGTTAATTAACTGTCACTTTTGTACACGACGCTACTTCATTTGAAACCTCTTTGATTTTTATGCGCACGATACTAATTCACATTCGCGAATCGGGCTAAGAAATTTAATAATTCTTTCTCTTTCCTCCTTTTCTTTATTTAATTTCTTTATTAAATATCAGAGAAAAAGAATATTTGAGTACCGGAGAGTTAACCCTAAGGGACGATAAAAATCCAACTCTCTCCCTTTTCTGTTTCCAGCCAGTCTCTCTCGTCGAGAATACGTCTTCCTTCATCCGAGCCGATAATTGGACATAATGGAGGCAATTCGCGGAAAATCGCTTGTAGGAAATGGGCACCGTGACCTCCTCCCACCGGCTGATAACGAGGGAGGATGCGCTCCGCCAACCGGAAGTCAACATTCCAATTCCGTTAGAAAATGCCCCGCCGCCACGGAGGACCCTTTCCACGCCAGAGGAAACAGGCGAGTGCTATTTTCTTCCGTGTTTTTTCTTTGATTTACTACGCTTTATTATTGAATTTTATTCAATTCATAATTGGAAATTATCCTTCTACTATTATATCCTCTAAATTTCATTTTTCTAAAGATATTTCTTGGACTGATAAGTCTTCCCTTCGTAGCTTCCTATTGCATTCTAATGTTGTATACAATTTTGGAATTTACAAATACAAAAGTACTCAAGAAATATGTATTGTAATATACATATACTGAAAACTATAAAATACCATAAACAATTCCACTAAAACTAATTACAAACAATTGTGTCCAGTCTGAACATTTCAATACAGATTTGAAATATCGAAAATATTTAGATAGGCAATCGTTTCGTCCTTTAAACTGATACAACGAATACTCGAAAAAATTTCCATAAAAATTCACGGTCTAAAAAAATTTTAAAATCCGAGATTAGAATTACCATACCATTGAGAAATGCAAGGCACAAATAAAAGCGTCGTTGAAACACGCGAGGGGCCGAAATAATAAAAATTAGCTCTCGCATTATTCGACCAGAGCTCATAGTCCACGTACGAGAGATTCCCATCGATATCATCCTGTTTATCCTGTTCTATCCCGTTTCGTGTAATATTCAAAATTCCCCTGATCTCCTTGCTCTCCCTTTGCTAATGCAATTGAAGATCTACTCTGAATTTCGACCACGTAATTTTGCGGAATATACGATATATGGAGGTATATCATGATATATGGAAATTACGCTGGATGAATTTTATGAACGATTTTCAAGCTTCAAGCAATAAAAATTATGCTAATAATATTATTACGTCGTAATTCGTAGAAGTTATTCGCTGAATATTTGAAGAAACGTACTGCAGACGGAAATATCGTGTAACGTTAATAAAAGTAAATCCTACAATAATGTGACAAACTATTTCTCGCACGTTATCACGAAATTATATAACTAACCTCGAGGCAACATATACCAAGAATAAGA